TATATAGAAAAAACCTGGGGGTAGTTTTTACTCCAGGTAACTATGCCAAAGGTCATGTTCCAAATAAGGTCAGGCATCCATGCTTGGTGGCACTTTCCAGGTAAGTCAGGCAGAGAGCAGGAGGCCCCCGCTGAGAAAGGGAGTCCTTCCATGTGGCACTGAGCCCCTTAGAGCTATCCAGACATGGAGGACTACAACCTTAGCAGCAGGGTCCCCCAACAGTAGTCTACACAGTAAGTTCCAGGCTAGCTGTGGCTACAGGGAGGACACTGCCTCAAAAAGGCAAGAAAAATAAAATAAAACCCATAACAAACAAAAACCCAATAATACTACTGATAATAACCAAAAAAATAACATGTAATAATTTGTTTCATAAGGTCTCCAGTATTAGAGAGAGAAAACCTTCAAAAACATAATAAAATGTTACGTGGTGGGATTAGATTTCCTTCCCTTTATAACTGGAGGACAGAAAAGTCTTGCTTTCTGGTGACTGGTGTGAGTTTACATGGTGTGAGTAAAGTGGAAGACAGGAAGCCCTGGGAGCTTGCAAGCCCAGAAAACCCAAAGCCTTCCTCCCTTTGGCCTAGAGCAGCAGCTTAATAGCAAGGATGCTGCCTCTACTCATGCTGACAAGGATGGGATTTTCAGATCTCCAGAAAGAGCTTTAAATCTTTGACAGGAGACTTTTCTTGCTATTGATCACATTTGGTTCACATTTGGCTCCTTTACAGTTCCTGGGCCATCATTTATGTATGCACTGTGCCACACACATCATCCCTGACCCTGCAAACTATGGTGGCTTGTCCCAGGCTTTTGGAGAGTTCCTGAAGGCTTTCATTTGTATTGCAGCTCCCTCGCCACAGTAAGGTTCTCTCAAGATATGGTCACCCTAGTACAGACTGCCAACTGACTGAAATCATCTCATTTCAGACTCAGTTGGGCTTTTAATTTCTCTTCAGCGCACAGGTCTGTTGTATGTAAAAGTCCCTTTGAAGTCAGGAGAGAGAATATGGGTTGGGCAGGTGGTAGAAGAGAAAGAAAATGATTTTGAATGGTTTAGTTCTTCTAATTTAGGTAGAAAAATTGATAGGGAAGGGAAAAGAAAAATATTAGAATGTGGGGACACAGTCAGGGGGCTGGGACTGGCATGCTGTCCAGAAGCTGTTGGTGACATCTTAGTTTCCTTCCTTGGATGAGCCCAAGGCCTGGGAGAGATCTTACCAAACTACAAACAACTGAGGCTTGGCTTAAGAAGCACGGAATGAAGCAAAAAGCTGATGGAGGTGTGCCAGGCTTTGCTACCTCTTGCAGAGTCCCATGAGCTGCCCAGACTGAAAAGCCCTCCAGTGCCTCTTAAGATGCACGTGGCAGCACATGCCACTAAAGGGTCTGTCAACACTTTGTCACATCACATAAATTGCTCAACTGAAGTTCTCATGAGGTCACCTCAGTGATGGCTCTACTACTCCCATGAAAGAAGATTCAGTTGGAAAAGAACTCAAAGTAATGAAGAGTCGAATGTGATAATCAAAAGTAGATAAGCCACTAAAAACAGCCTTTCCCCTGCCTTCTTTGATGATTTTCAGGAGGTGTCTTTATTTTGGTGCATATGTGACTGACTGAAAAATTCATTCCAAATGAAGACTTCTAAAAATGTGGTGGGTAATGGCAGCATCAG